TTCAGCATCCTTTTCAACGCTCTTTAATAATTGATTTTCGCCATCAAATTGTGGCTCATTTTTAATTGCAATATTATCAATCCAATTGTCTATTTGTTTTAAGTCTTTTTCCGCGCTCTCAAAATTTTCTACCTCCATTTTGATTTGCAGACATTGCTCAACAGTGCTGGACAATTCAATGGGATTTTCATTCAAGCAATCCAATTGCTTTAGGGAAGGCATCTGCTGTATATCCTTTAGAATTCGTATTAACTTGTCGTTAGCTTCCTCTGCTTGAATAATGAAATTTTGGGCCGACCGCAGTTTACGGCAACAACCATCGCATATTCTTTGCGGCATTTCGTCTTCATATTCAGCTTTAAACTTTAATAAAAAAACGGTTATCTGTATGACACAAGACTTCTTCAGCAATATTTACATTTGCAACTTACCAAGAAGTTTGCCAGAGTCTTTAACGCATCCTTGTACGTTGTTGCAGCCTTTCCGTCAATCATAGCAGTCAACTTCTGCAATTTAATATCAGTCTTAAGGCATGTTCGACATTGATTCCGTAAATCCAAAGACATTTTTCATTCAACGTTTGTGAATATATTTTAATTTATTTTCCATTAAAATATTAGTGATGGCAATACTCAGATAAATTAAAGATGGTATACAAGCAATATTCGGCGATAAAAAGTGGAGTACGATGTGCAAGGAAGAATTGGTAGAGAGCTTCTGTGAATATGTAAAAACTAACTTTGTGCAATATAATGAGTAATATTGAAAAGTCTCCGCTCTAGCCCCCTTTTCTAGCTTCTTTTTGCAGCGTGCTGTCATGTGGTTGAGGTTTAGTGCCACCGCTACTTCCTGAGAGCTTGCGTTCGAATCTTGTAAAATTTGAACGACTTTTCCGGTGATTGCGAGATGCAGCTTTGATATCGAAATTCTCTCTCACTAACAGCCTTCTTACCCTGCACTTCACCATTTTTTTTCCTTTTTGGTAAAAAAGCGTTATGTAGCGCATTTCCTCGTATATTTCAATCATTTTCAAATCTATATAACTTTTATAAAAAGAAAGAATTAGAAAACTATCTTCACAAAAAATGTAAGCTGAAATGTCATCTTCTAAGCACGTTTGGGACAATCAAATAATAATGATGCCCGATATACAGTCATCAACACTATCAATTCGTGTCGCCATTTTTAAACCGTTGAATTCAAAACCGACAATTGGGATATGGTGGAGCCGCATCACCATAAGTCTCTCAACATGTTTGGTGGGCTTCGGCAGCCGATTCCTTCAAATAAACCACAAAAATAATGAATTTAAAAGAAGAAAAATTATGCGCGACTCATGATTAGTGTCGGCATACATTCGAATTCAAGCCTTATGTATACTGGTATTTCCCATTTCTTTACCATTTATAGACAAGTACAAGTGTACAAGTCGCTGATCAAAACTTTTGCAAGCACTTAATAGTTTAATTTATTTTTGAGTAAAAATTAGTGATGGGCGAACTTTACATTTAGTGCAGTTAGAGATGGTATGCGCACAAGGGAGTAGAATTTAGAGCGATAGTGTATATAATAGATAATGACTGGTTGCTTCTGCGTGTATGTATGTAAAACAGTTATTTGGTATTTTTATTCTTTTGATAATTGAACTGAAAAATATAAATAAAAATGAATGAATTGCTTTATATGCTAAATATTACACGATTACCCAAATTTCTTATTATTTCACAATGTAATTATTTCGCAATTTTAATAATTAACTATTTGTACTGTTGTTAGTAAATTGAAAGGTGTTTATTAAAATTTCTATTGTCTGAAGATCACTCTACTGACATTTCAATAATCCAAATGGGGCGTTTCTACACAAATTGGTTCTCCATACAGCGCTACACGCGTAACTATTTATTGATTCGAGGGCTAACGATGCATATAGCAGGATGATGTAAGCATTAAAGTTTTCATTTAATATATCTGCAAAGATCAGAATTGCAACGTTAAAGATTTGCCATGAGTCTAGACTGTTCAAGAGTTTTAACTCAATCATGCTTCGAGCACTTTGTGGTCTCCGCCAGTCATCCTTCGTGCTTTGTTTGCGATTCATTTAAAGGATTCTTCTGGGCCGCAATGGCTTATGGGTCGATTTTAATTAAATGAATTTTAAAATTTACGCAGCTTTCGTCTTTCTAAGAAGTTCGTTTGGTCATTAATTTTTTTGCTTACCATCCCTATCACATCCAAGTTTCAGACGCTAGAAACGCTTTCAGTGCGAAGCAAATCAAGCTCTTGCGTTGAAAGTCTAATGTTTCTCCTTGTCTTCTTCTAATTATATATAAGTAATGCAGCCTAAATTAAGATGTAGAAGAAGGTTTAGAATTATATAAGAATTAACATCTATTAGATCTTTTTAAAATTAACCGACTTTTTATTAATATGTAAAGCAATATTGCTGCTCTTTCGACCAATAAAATGGAGGCCAATTTACAGTACGGGAGATTTTTGTTTTTAACTTTAATTATTTATTAATTAATCTTTAGCAAGTTCGGAAAATCCAGAAACATCGGTTACTTGAAAAACGATATTTTAAAAACTGGTTTACATGTGTGTTCTATGTATACGTGAAAAAAAAAGATAATTAAGTCTTTCGTTTCAATATTCTTAAGACATTTACGTGCAATGCTTTTGGGTGAAATCACTTCCCTTTCGCTCTTCATCCAGACCAAAGCGATTAGCTGCAGATTGCGATTTTTTCTTCTTTTTTTTTTATACGCTCCCCTGAAGGGAATGGAGGCTCAACATCTAAAGGAAACTTCAGAGACGCTATAAAGTATATATATCGTTGATCAGCGTGAAAATCTCAAGTGATTAAGCTATGTCTGTCCGTCTGTGTGGTGTGTGTTGTTGTTGGCACTCTCCTGGTCGCAAAATGAAGCCATCGGCTTCAAACTTGGCAGAAGTTTCTGCACACATGTTGGTATTGAAAGTGGCCCATATTGGTCAGAGCAAAAGCCCACAATGGAGCGTAAACTGAAAGCAACTCACGTGTTTTTTCATTTCAAATTTCAGGATTTTTGCTCGTTATTCGGAAATTATTGAAGTTAGAGGCTGAAGTTTTTCACGTTTGCTTTACGAAACACTTTACTCTCTAGGTCCGAAAATCGAATCAATCGGCCGGCCATCCCCACACAAAGCTACGAGTAACTAAATTTTATTCGTTTCAATTTTTATCACAAAGCAAACAAAAACAAGATGGAATATTTGGTACCCTCCTTAAGTGAAGATATATTACTTGCCTAAAAATAGGTTAATTTTAAAATGAATATGGTCGGCACCGCGATTTTTTCTTAATGCCAGCGATATGAGTATCAAATGAAAGAAGTTGGAGAGAAGAATGCGAAAAACCTAGTGGTCGTTATTCGAGATTCGGCCCCTGAAATATTTTAAGGATTCCGATTTTGGAGAATGTAAGAGATACTTTCACTATGGATTTAATCAAATATTTATTTGTTCATCAATTCATTCACGAAGTGTTTTTATTTATTTTTTTTTTTTGTTTTTTAAATTTGTATAAAAAGGAAAATTGGTAAAAGTTTATATACATATATTTTTTTTAATACAAATCGTTTAATGTAAAAAGACAAATAAAAATTCAAATAGCAAGAGTCTAAAGTTAAACAACTTAAATACGAAAAAATAATAATAAAGGTTAAATAAACGCACTAGAGATACTTTTCTTTCTCCGATCAATCAACTTTACATTAAGATCGATTATCTTTGGTGGTTTAGATTGAGGCGACGGTTCACCAACGTCACCTTCAGCTCCATTGGCATTAGGGGCATTATCGTTGCGTGGTGGATTAATGGTTAAAGTAAGATTGCTTAAAGCATTCAACACCTTTTCTACATCCTCATCGGTGCTCGGTTGACCATTACGATTACCGAAATGCAAGAAACAGCGACCGATGGACGCTATTAACAAATATAAAATGATGAAAAGGTGGTAATATAAAAAAAAAAAATTAAAAAATAAATAATAATCATGTTTCAATCTAATTCTTACGTTTCCAAGTAATACCCAATGGATTACATTGTCTTTTGCGCAATTCGGCTTTGAAGTCTTTAATGCGCATGCCACGTTTAAGATTAGTCACCTTAATGGAGAAATCAAGAACAGGACGATTTTTGCGTAACCTCTGTCTGCGGTTGCCACCATCTCTACCACCCCCGACAGCTCTACGTACTTGGGTCATAGATTCAATGCCTGATTGATCGCCTTCAGACTAGAAACAACAAATTTATAATTTTATAGATGATTTGTAGTTGTAGTTTCAGATAGTAGGAGCTATATCGAGTAACAACCTTCGCGCTTCTAATACACTTTTCCATCGAAATAATTGTAAAAACTTACTTTGGTTGGGCGACGTTCCATATGGGTGCGTATATGAATGTTTAGAAATCTTGATTGCAAAAAACTACGTTCACAATGAGGGCATTTGTATGGACGTTCGTTCGCGTGCGTGCACATATGTTCTTTAAATTTTTTCCGGCGTTTGAATGCCTTTTCGCAAACTGTGCACTTATACTTAATCTTTTTTGATTTCTGATGTGCTCCCTTGTTCACAACTAGACCTGAGTTACTTTTCATTTCATTGTTTTCATCCGGTTTGGTGCCGTGTTCACTTTTAACGTGAGCCTGAAGTTTATATTGTGTTGTATTGGAATTATTCAATAAAACATCGAGTGGCTCCTGACCGTGAAAAGTGCGCATATCTGCGTACATGTTGCAACGTCTGCTTCCACAATTGGGACAAGACATTTTCAGCTCTTTCGGTAAATGTGTGCTACGTTTATGTCGGGCAAGTAGTTTGAAAAAAAAAATTAGAAAATATTTTACAATACCAATTATTCGCTTATGTTTATCGAACTGATTATTGAATTTCTCCTCAACAGAAACTTAAGACCAAAAATGTCTTTTCGCACAAGGTTTCGAATTTGAATTGATGCATGATATGCTACAAAGTCGTTTAGGCATTAGGAAACTGGGGTCAGGACGATTTCTTAGTACTCATTATTCAAAATGAATATATAGTATTCATAATGGGAGCATATCGCTCCCATGTGAACATATTCAATTCTGATGAAGATGATATTCTAAATTCTTGGACTTGATAAGCATGTTTGGTTTCCTTCGTAGCTCACATCCCAAAAGCGTTAAACATTAGTGTGATCAGTTCAAAACTCATTTTAAGGAGCGAAAAAGCTTAACTAAAAGTTGCATATAAACTAATTCCATGAGTTGACAGGTTACAAAACATCCCATAACCTATATATATATATATATATATATATATATATATATATATGTATTGTTATTATTGCTAGAAATAATTTACAAGCGATACAAACTTTAGCGCTTAAAATCAAATCAGCTGAATCATTTTTCTGGTGAAAGTCTAGAGTATCCCATCAAAATGCATGGGCCTGTTAATGGTTACTTGTGTTACTTTTATCCTTGGTCTTAAGCCCCATTAATTTTGAAAATTCCAATTCGGATATACACACATGCCTAAATCAATATATATTAGTTTGGAGAAAAAGAAATCCATTATTTTTTCGGTAGATGGCTGCACTGGTAGATTTCTCGTAAAGTATCGATTAAACAATTTCAGATTTATGCTCGTTGGAAAGATGACATTTCGCAGTAAAAAATATTCCTTTGCTGTTTTTTGTTTGGGGCATTCAGTTGTGAGTTACAGCTTGTTAAAAATGGAAGTGAACAAAGAGAAAATTCGGTACATTTTACAGTTTTTCTTTATAGTTCCGATACTGTAACAGCCAATTATGTGCAATTTTGGTTTCGTAGATTCCGTGCAGGAATTTTTGATGTTAAAGATGCACCTCGCACAGGTAGGCCGGTCGTCGAAAATGTCGATAAAATCGGAGAAATGATCGAAGTTGACCGGCATCTTAGCAGTCGTAACATCGCCCAGGAGCTAAAAATCGACCATAAAACAGTTTTAAACCTTTTACACAAAGCTGGATTCAAAAAGAAGCTTGATGTTTAGGTGCCACACCAATTAACAGAAAAAAACATGATGGATCGAATTTCCATCTGCGAAGCCTTGGCCAAACGGAATGAGATAGACCCATTCCTTAAACGGATGATGACTGGAGATGAGAAGTGGATCACGTACGATAACCCTGTGCGAAAACGATAGTGATCAAAGAGCGGTGAAGCAACTCAAACGGCCAGGAAGGTTTTGCTATGCATTTGGTGGGACTGGAAGGGGATTATTTATTATGTGTTGCTTCCATATGGCCAAACGCTAAATTCTGATCTCTACTGTCAACAACTGGACCGTTTGAAGATAGCGATTGACCAGAAGCGGCCAGAATTGGCCAACAGGAGAGGTGTCGTGTTCCACCAGGACAACGTTAGGCCACACACATCTACAGTGACTCGCCAGAAACTTCGGGAGCTTGGTTGGGAAGTTTTAATGCATCCGCCATACAGTCCGGACTTGGCACCAAGCGATTATCATCTTTTTCTTGCATTGCAAAATTTCTTCAATGATCAAAAATTGGAATCTAGGGAGGATTGTGAAAATAGTCTACTAGAGTTTTTTGCAAATAGAGACCAGGACTTCTATGAGAGAGGCATTTTGAAGTTACCTTTAAAATGGCAACAAATCATACAACAAAACGGTGCATATTTGACCCAAATCGGACAATCCGAAGCATGTTAAATAAAGTCCTGAAGTTCATATAAAAATAATGGATTTCTTTTTCCCCATCCTAATATATATACACATAAGACTGTCGATAAAAAATAAGATGAACTTCTCGTTTAAACCTGATACTATGAATACCAAGACACTAAGAAGTGATGAAACGATTCTGTTTATGCGATGGTAGTACTGCCTTTAACATTCTTATAGAGTTTCATGTTAAAAAATTCGTATTGGACAGAATTTTTCAAGCGAAGGTTTTCGCCATCAAGCTGAATTTCTCGGGCGTAGCCATAAGCTCTTACGCTTAAATGCTATCCACAATAACTTCCCGTTAAAGGTGACATTGGATTGGCATATGGATTATTTAACAAGTCATGCGATCTCGAACATATGCTGATTGAGAGGGTCCTTTTTTTGACTGATTTACAGAGAGAGAAACGATGGCAAATTTTATATAACTATTGGATGCAGCTCAAGAACCCAAGTGTGCTGGGAGTAGTAACTGAATGAAGCTAAAGAAAAATTCCTCCAAAACTTTGATCTTTCAAAGTCTATCCAGTTACTACTTGGACCTATCATTTCCTCCTAAACCGCCAATGACTTACATTTCGAAGCCATTTTTAGGATAGAATTCAAGTTTTTCAGAAAGGATATAGACGCCTCAAGATGGATGGGTGCTACAACGTTAACATTGACGCTATAATTGGAATATTATTAGAGTGTTATGAAAGCTATGAAAAATGTCTCATTTTATGTACAAATTCACCTTACTTCTTGATCGGATCTTTTTATGTACACTTTGTATATTTTTGTGCGTGCATGTATATAGATATATGCGATGAGATGAACCTGACAAAAAGGATAAGTTTCATACCTCTCATTTTGTACAACCGATTCCGCCGAAGCTTGGTAATTAGCTTCAGCATCCTTTTCAACGCTCTTTAATAATTGATTTTCGCCATCAAATTGTGGCTCATTTTTAATTGCAATATTATCAATCCAATTGTCTATTTGTTTTAAGTCTTTTTCCG